GCGCATCAGACAAATAATGTGAATAATTATTGGAAATAATGTCCAGATCGATGGAACGGAGCCAAATTATGAAATCATGCGCTTCTTCTTCCCGGTGCATCGGCCTGCTCATTATTTGAAGTCATGCTTGGAAAAACAGGTGTTTCCAATAGCGGGCCGGCCCGGACCCCCGGCCCGGAGCCCCGGCCCGGACCCCCTCCTCCTCCATGTTCTGATGATGGCTCAGATATGATATTTCATGGCTGGAGCTGAGCGCCTGATAGGAAGTGATTGGGGGGGAGCCGTGCAGAAGACATGCGTGTAATGGATGCTGATTGGCCCGGCTAAATCCCTGGAATCTGCGCCCGAGTAACAAGAGGGGAACCGCAGGCTCGGAGCAGAACCATCCCGAGCTGGGCTTTTTTTCCCTTCTCGGAGGTTCACATGATTACAAGGGGATTTCTCTGTCTCTTTAAACAGGTGCCATATTTATGTGACCCAGCAGCAGTGCAGCTGAGTGCAGTTGGCACCAGACGCTCATCCTTCGGTCTCGTCATAAACGGAACCAGCAGGGACAGAACTTCTCTGTTTTTATGATGGATGCGTTGCGTCAGCCTGTGATGTGGAGGCAGCACATGTGTGTGTTTTATAAGCGCCCAACACTCGAGCTGTGATTGATCATCGTGTCATTTGTTGTTATTGCAGCTCCGACCCGCACCGTGGCCGGACCGGACCGGGCCGGGCCGTGGCTGGGCCGTGGCTGGGCCGGGCCGGACCGGGCCGGACTTCTTCCTTTAAGTGAATGGCTGCCACACACAGCATGGAGGAGGAGCGCCGTCTGTAAACGCCGTTACTGGCTTTGCTTGTGTGAGACTTCTGGTTCCTGAGTTGTGGAGAGACGTTCAGCACCGGTTGGTACCAACAAGAACCGCGGTGGAGCTGGACTGTGGTCTCAGGCTTCCAGGACAGCTGCCTTCAAACAGCAGGTCGACTTTAAAACGTGCTGCACAACAGGATAGGAATCAACTTGATCCTGAAGATCTCGTTCAAATAGTATGTTTGCAGCAACGAGATTCTGCAAAAAACAAACCGGACCTGTGACTAAACATGACAGATCTTTTACCCCAAAACCATCTTTTCTCCTTCTCCTGAGCTGGACTCAGCTGGAGGTCTGCTTTTCCAGATTATAGCTCTTAAAACGTCAGCTTTACTTTGAAATGTGCTGCCAGCCAGCAGGAGCAAATATATTTACGTACAAGATGTTTAATCAGACTCACTATATTCTACTTTATCTCATCCAAGAAGTTTGTTTGCAGTAGTTCGTTTCTGCAGGTCACATGATTAAATTCAGACTTGACCAATAAAAGCAGCTTGACTCAGTCACACACTGTGGTCCGGCTTCTCCAGAGCAGTTGCCTTAAAGTGGAAACTTTATTTTGAAATGCTGCAGGATAATCAAACTTTATCCTCGAGGTCTCCAAAAATTGTGTTTGCAAAAATTAGGTTCTGCAAAAAGCTGCGACCAACAGTCACGTGACGAAAACAACCAGGATCCTACAATAAAAGCAGCTTCTCTTGTTTGCTGGAGTGAGAACACACAGCAGGCTCCTGGGGTTTTGTTTTTTCATAATAAAAGTCTTGCGTCTACTTTGAAATGTGCTGCTAGCAAAGAAGGAAAAAAACTGTTTAAGTCCAAAATATTAACTCAAACTCACGTCATCCGACTTCATCGTGCAGATCTCGTTTCAAACAAACCCCAGAAATAAAACGTTGGTAATATTTAGAGAACGTCACACGACGGCAGCTCCGACTTCGACCAGGAAAAGCAGCTTTTCTGTGCTGCCAGCAGAACGGGGGAATAAATCCAATCCACGTACATGAATTAAAACCTTTATTGAGTTTTTATGTGCTTGGCACCTGTATTTACATTTTTTCAAAATGCCTCAAAAAAAGAAAAAAAAGATTTACTTTGCTATTTCCCTTTTTAGTCACACGTTGGTTTTCTAACACATCGGCCTGTAAAGCTGCTATACTGCTCAGCACTTAAATACACACCACATCATACCGGACTCTGGGTCGCTACTACAACGTTTCACACAACAACTTCTTAAGCTTACGTTATTGATTGCATTCGCCATCCTTTATATTTATACATATACATATATATGCATAAATCAACACATATATGTATATGTATGTATATGCTTAAAACATGAATCCACTCAGACATAGTGAAGCCATTCCAGTCTATGGGAGAAGGAAGTCATGAGGTCGGATCCTCGGTTAAAAACCCAGAACACTGCGTCCAGAGAAGCGGCCGTCCGTCCGCGGAGCAGCGAGTCCTTCTTGTTTCCGTCTTGAACCACGAAGCCGTCGGCGTGTCTACGTGGCTCGAGTGCTGCGTGAAGTTGAACAAAAACGACTTCTGGATCACAGTGAAGACTCTCTGGATGGCAGGAGGTCCTTTGAGTCCCTTCAGCGAGGCTTGTTTTGCTGCTATTGCACCGTAACATATTCACAAATCGTCCTGAACCGCCGGCTGCTGTCCCGACTCGTTGGCTTTATTGATACAAAGATAAATAGTAGTTTGGACTCCCTCTATAATGCTGTGAGTGGTGGAGTGTCTGTAAAGAGAAGAACTTGAGATGATCCTCCGTCAGCACGCCGCCTCCAGCCTCCTACACCATGTGCATGGACATCTGAGAGGAGGAGCCGTACTGACGTCCGTCGCAGGAGCCGCCGCCCTGCTGGCCGCCGCTGGCGTTGCCGATCATGTGCATCGTGTCCATGCTGCCGTTGGACAGGTACTGGCGCTCGGCGAAGGCCCCGGCGGGGGCGGAGGAGCAGAGCAGGCCGCCCTGGGGCTTCTCGGGGCTGGCGGCCAGGCGGGGGGAGGTGGGGAAGTTGTATCCGTACAGGTTGTAGGGGTTGTGCAGGGAGAAGGCGTTGTAGGAGCCCTGCTGCACGTGGTGGTGGCTCCCGCTGAACATGTGGGCGGAGGACGGGGAGGATCCGGACGAGGAGGACGAGGCGGAGCCGGAGCCGCCGCCGGCCTGCATCACGTACTGCAGCTGGGAGGCCGGGAAGGAGCCCAGCTGGCCTCCGTACGCCTCCATCTTGCCCCCGGTGCTGCCGCCGCTTCCACCACCGCTCAGCGAGGCGTGACTGCCGCCCTGCATGCCGGCGGCGATCAGGGAGGAAGTCCTCTGCGGCAGGAAGGACTCGGACGGCTGGGCGGACGCCACGCCGCCCCCCGCCGCCTGCAGGCGGCCGTAGGAGCCGTCGGCCAGCCCGCCGTAGCCCTGCAGGGCCGCCATGTTGCTGCGGGCGCAGGCCGGGTACTCGGACAGGCCCAGGTTGCAGAGCTGACTCTCTCTGCAGCCCACGTTGAAGGTGTTGGGGGCCAGGTGGAAGGTCGGAGGGGAGCAGGAGGGCGACAGGAGGTGGGCGGCGCCCGAAGGAGAAGGAGTTCCTGTGCTGGAGGTGGTGGGGGAGGTGCCGGTGCTGCCGCCTGGAAAACACAAACAGAGAGAGGATGAGTGGTGGAGGGTCCGGTACCGCTGGATGGGTCGTCTACACTTCATTGAGGAGCAAACAGAGCAGAGCATCTTCAAAACAGAGTTCCAAGATGAAACATGATTCAGGATCAGTGCAAAAGTGTGAACGAGTCCATAAAGATGAGGAGAGATGCAGCTGAACACTTCATGTCCCGATCATCCGTTAGATTAGATAGAACTCTCATCTAATCTAATCTCATCTAATCCAGTCTGACATGTGACACTAACTCATTTTCATGACTCAGTGTTCACCTTTAACCGTCTGAACCCGTCGTCATGTTGCCTTTAAAAACAAATAGCTCAAAAATAACCCAAAACCAGGCGAGTCATCGGATCTGTAACGTCCCGACGGTCCTTGAACTCCTCATCTGAGCCCTTTGGTTCCATTCAATCTGGTGACTTCCATCAGAATGACTCAGGTGTTGAATCAGACGCAGGATGAAGTGTTTGCAGTGACTAGACTTTGCAGAAACAAGCAGCTGTTAGCAGCTCGGGGCTGAACTGCTGCAGTGCTGCGGTTTCTATCATCATGGGTTTGTTCTGGTACCTGTAGCGTCTTTGGACCTCTACGTACTACTTCCTTAAGTTTATTGTGAACTGAACTTTCAGAGGTTCAGGTTTTTAGACTGAAGGAATAAATCCAAGGTTTCCTGAATGTTTTACTAATAACTGCTCAGACTGTATAAACTTCATTAATTCTCCGTTTGTGGAAACGTTTCTTTACATTACGTTAAACTAACGCTTGCTGAACTGAACCGACGTGCTCTCCGTCCTGTTTGTGCGTTCAGCGACATGCAGCGGCCGCTCCGAGCTGTGTGTTTGCCATATTTCCACATTATGAATCCACCTGTGCCGTATCCACGTGGCCTCGCTGAGCGGCGTGAACACGTCCCTCCTCTGAAGGCCTCGCGCCGCTCAGCGCTGCAAAATATATCGCCGGTATGCGGCGGATAAATATGGACCCAGTTCTGACTGCGTCTGGTCAGCAGAGACGCCCCCGACGTATTAAACACACATAAAGTGGGCTGGCACCGAGTCGGGCCTCTCGCAGCGGAACCATAGCTGTGGGATATCAATCACATACGGCTCTATTAATGAGAGTTTGGCCGGCGCTCACGTCGGAGAGATTGGGCTTGAAAGCAGAATGAGGAGGAGGCAGAACTAAATAATCCAGGACTCGCTGGCTTGGCCGCGGTTCTGATTCTGCACCATATGCCTTCGATAAGGCTCGGGGAGGGAGGGGGGGGAGAAGGGGAGAGGACGGCGAGGTGATGTCATGTTTTCCTCCGGTTGGAGGGGCTCAAGGTGCTTCGGCGTCGAGGGACAACGGCTGATTGCTTGAAGGGAAAAGAAAAAAGGAAGGAGCAGCACGTGGAGGCGTCCTCAGGGTGACGCCGGGTTCACCGGCAGAACACAAGGACTTTAATTAAATCCTAATCACCGCCCAAGATGACAAACACATGTCAGGACCGAGCGCATCACGTCATGCCGACCTCCGGCCTCCACGCGACCGTGAGAGGGCGGCCCGACTCGTGTCGCCGAGCCCCGTCCAAGATGCTTCGCCTAACGATTATTGTTTCTGTTCAACTTTCAATGTGAAAAGTTCAGCAGACGCAGGAGGAGCTGCCAGAGCTGCAGCGCATGGCCAAGCTCAACCCAAGGACGAGCAGCGCCGCCGCCGCGGTGAGATACGCAGGGAAAGTATGCAGAGTTCAGGTCGGGACACGAGTGCAGCGGAGGTCGCAGCCGAGTCGGCGGCGCTGGTCTGAGCTCGCCGTGGCGCTCGCTCGCTGCTTCGTCTTGTAAAAACAACAGAACATGTGCGTGAACCTGCCGGCTAGCAGCATGTCCACGTCCAGGTGAGTTATCCAGGTGAGTTATCCAGGTGAGTTATCCAGGTGAGGTAGGATTACTGTCCTGGATGCTGCTGTGACGTCAACGTTACCTCGTTAACGATCAATTAACTGATTTGTGTTTTAAAGCCAAACCATGATCCTTCCTTTGACCTGATCCAGTGGCTCCAGCTGAACATAAACCAAACACTGGTGGACGAAGCGACGTGAACACAGAGTGAAGAACACGTTGTCTCATCCTAGTCCTGTTTAACACCATCTAACACCATCTTATCTCATCTTATCTCATCCTAGTCCAGGTTAATACCATCCTAATCCAGTTTTATTCATTTTTTATCTTAATCCTGTTTAAATCCTATTTTCTTATTTCTATCTTTCTCTCATCGTCATCCTTTCTAATCCTGTTTAATCTTAATCCTATTTCATTTTATTTAATCTCACAGTATCCTGTCTTCATTTTATTTTAATCTCATCTTAATCCTGTTTTATCTTGATCTTTATCTTCATCTTAATCTGGTCCAGTCATCTTTCTATTTCATCTTAATCCTATTTTTATCCTGTTTTTAGCTTAATCCTATTTATTTTATAGTATTTAATCCTAATCTTATTTTATCTTACCTATATTATTTTATTTGATCTTAATCTCATCGTGTTTTATCTTATTTTATCTCTTCTTATAGTAATTTGATCTTAATCCTGTTTTATCTTATTTTTACCCATCCTATCCTATCCTTTCCTATCCTATCCTATCTTACAGTATCTTATTTTATCGTATCCTAATCTCATCCTAATCCTGTCTATTCTTACCTGTTTCCTTTGATCCTAATCTCACCTTCATCCTCTCTTGCTTTCTGTAGAATCTCTCCAAATGGATCTTTTCTTCTCCACTATCAGTGTAATAAATCATTTTTATGTTCAGCCTTATCGTCCACTCCAGTGTGCAGCATCACATTAGGATGAGTGATAATCCTTCACAGCTTCACTGGGATTCGTACGTCTCTGCTCTCGTTTAGCTCTTTATTCTTACTTTAGTCTTGCTTGGTGCTCACGTGGTTTCTACGAGGACCTGCAGTCCTTCTCTGGTCACTTTGTTTTCTGGGTTGTTTCTGCCAAACGAACGTCCCTCTGGATTAATTACCTTTTATCTTATCTCATATTGTCTCATCTCATGAAGGAAAAAAATAAAAAGCTAAATGAAGGACGTTCTGGTCAGTGAGCTTCAGTTTGTAGAAGTTTGTCTGGATCAGAACCAGATGCTCAGCGTCTCCCGACGTCGCTTTCTGTTCGACCACGTCTGAAAACGCTTTGTGCAGTTTTCTCACTCCTCTGACTGATGTTCTCGTTTCTACTCTGCATGTGAGCCACCTGACCCGGACTTCAATGTTCTGATTCATATCCACACGAACAGAACCGAGGAAGCTGCTTCAGACTTCTGTCCAAACGGAGGCGCTGGACTCACCCTGCTGCTTCTGCATGTTGGTGAAGTCCTCGAACGTGAGGGTTCTGACCGGAGGTCTCCAGAACGCGTAGGTCTCCATGATGGCCTCCAGGCCGGTCCTGTCAGAACCAACCAGGCAGGATTAGAGACAAACAACAACAAACACTGAACAACAAGGCGTGAGTGTGTGTTGACCAGATGCTGTTTGCTGTGGATCTGATTCCACTGATGTCGTCCTGCTCTTAGATGTTCAGCTGTGGAGCTTCTGCTGCTCCCACCAGCTCCTTCTGTCCCAGATGTTCTGCTGTTTTCTGATTGTTTTTATTTCGTTTAACTTTTGCTCGATCAGCCTGAGCTGCAGGTCAAAAAGTTCTTTTAATTAATTTAAAACGTGGATGAACAAACGGAGTCGTCTATAAAACGTTCCCACCATGTTGCACGGTCAACATTCAGACAGAACGTTTGTAGAGCGTCTCTAGAGAACTTTATCCTGCCTTTGAGCAGAACACCCACTGAAACATGACTAGAACTGTCTCAGAACGTTTTTAGAACACATTTTTATAGGAAGAACGTTCTCAACATCCCAAAACATCCTCTGGAAAATGTTTGTAATAAATCTATGGTTACAGAAATGTTCTGGGTTCCTCCTCCCTGGTCAGCTGGACGTCCTCCAGGCCACTAGAGGGCGCACAGAGGAGGAAGCGCTGCACGGGTAATAAAAACAAATGTTCTCAAAACCTTTTTCCAAATGCTGAGAACGTTCTTCTATAACTTATGACTACTAGAATGTTTTCAGAACGTTTTTCAGAAGGAACCATGTTTCTGAGCAACGTTGCTTTCTGCCTGCAGTATTCTGAGGATGTTTTGGGAACGTTGCTTTGCCTGCTCTTCCTTTGTTAACGCTGAGGGAACATTTTGTAGAACGTTTACTTCAAGAACATCTTCAGAGAACTTTGGTCCCATCGCGGCTCTTCTGAAAGTCAGGATAACGGAACGCTTCCCGCTGAAACGTTAGTGGAACTTTCTCAGAACCATTTTAGAACAAAAGGTGTTTTTATACAATGTTCCTGTAATTTACAGGTTGGTAGAACATCTGTGAGAACATTCTTCTATAGACCATTCCCCCAATGTTTTAAGGGCATCTTTGGAGAACGTTCCATGGAAGGAGCATTCAGAAAATGTTTTAAGAACATTTTTAGAGAACTTTACACTGAAACATTACCAGAACTTTCTCAGAACCTTTTAAGAACAACGGACAGTTTTGTACAATGTTCCTTACAAAGGTAGAACATTCTGTGGATGTTTTAGGAATGTTGCATGGGAACTTTCTTCTATACAACGTCCCTACCATGTTGCATGATGAGATATTTTAGGAACATTTTTAGAACGTCTTATAGTGAAACATTACCAGAACTTTCTCAGAACCTTTTTAGAACAAAGGAGTGTTTATACAACGTTCTTTTAATTTACCAAGGTAGAACATTCTGTGGATGTTTCAGGAACGTTTCACGGAGAACCTTCTGCTATTAAACCCACCATGTCACATGATAACCAGATTTTTTAGGAACATCTTAAGAAACTTTGCTGCCTTTAGGAAGAGAACCAAAACTCTGCTGAAACATTGCTACAACTCTTTCAGAACGTTTTTGGAACAGAGCAGCGTGCCATCTGCGTGTTTGCATTGTTTTTGCAGAAGTTCTTTGTAAATTAAAGCCGGTTGGTGCTGAAATATGCGAGCGGCGCTTCAGTGAGACAGTGACTGAGTGCAGCAGACGTCCTGGAAGACAAACTGGGCTGACGGGTGGAAGTGATCCTGGACCAGGGAGGGAACCGGGCCGCTGAAGGAGCAGCTCTTTTTTTTCTTTTTTACTGAGCACATAAATCCGAGGTGACGTTTCATCTCCAGTCTGTGTACGACTTCTCCTTCCCGCCTGATTTACTCTCCCGGACCGCTCGCCGTTGTTGTTTTAGGGCCGCGGCGGCTCGTTAGCGTAGCGCGCTAATCGGCCATCACTGCGCTCATTCATGCCGCGGGACCGAAACCCAACAAACGAGCTGCGTCCCTCCGGCCGGCCGTAAAGACCGGCTCTCCAGACATAAACTCCAGACTTCTATATTAGGACGCAATAAAGGAATTTGGAAAAAGGAGCCGGAGCTCAATCTGAGAGTTAGCAGAGCAGGGTTCGGCCTTTTCTATTAATTTGGAATTTCCCCCCGAATGTGGATTTAGTTGGTAAAGTTCCACAGAAAACAGGTCGCGCAATCCAAAGAGAAGTGGCTGTCGTTCCCTGGCAGACTGTTTATATCGCTCATATCCGACACTCATATAAACCGTTAAAGGACACGCGTGGCAGCAGGAACAGAATCAGTCACACCTGCTCACAGCCGTTTGTCCTTTTACACTTTATTCAAATACAGTTTCAGTCGTCACACATCACGTCGTTTGTAGCGGCTAAATGCAGATTATGAAACAGTTTTGCTCCTTTAAAAGAGGATTTAAAGACTTATCATCGCAGCGGGACAAAAAACAATAAGAAAGATGGATTTGTTGTCATGGCAACGAGGCTTTTCTGTCAGTTTGTGATGATTTTTCATGTAAATTTTTAAAGTCAGGGCATCTACAAACATTAAAACATGAGAAAAGCAGCCAAACACGTTATATATGTGTCAAATGATGCACCTGCATCCGATTTAATTGTACAACGATTAAAATAATCGCCAACTGGTTTGATAATTTCTCAGCTGATTCCAGCTTCTTGCATTTAAACATTTCCTTGTTTCCTTCTTGTCTGACACAGAAACTGTGATCGACACGTTTTTCTAACAGACAACTTCCTCGTCGTACACGAGAGTCAACGAGCTGCACAGATCACGCTAATCCCACCAATGAGCCGCCGTCCGAGGCGTCTGTTTCTGGAAAACTTGCTGTATTTTGTCTTTGTTTTGATGTTTTCCTCGTGATGCTTCTACTTTTTTTGCATCAGCACATTAAAAATGTAAATAAAACCTAATTATCGTCCACAGCGCTGCAGCTGGATCCTGATTCAAACGGAAATCTGGAGGTTGTTGTTGGTTAAAAACAAACCGAGTCCACAGCGGCTGATTGTGAATCCAGCAGCGTGGAGGTGGAAGGTCCAAGGCCCGGCTCGCTGACGACATCCACGGCGGAGGAAAAGGGTTTTTAAGGTTACAGAAGCAGAGTCGGACCAGAACCAGTCCCAGAAGGAGCGCGGAGCCGTACGTGAGGATAAATTCATTTTCCCCTCTGCCTCCGAACATCTCATTCCTCCCCCTCCGTTATCTTTTCATCTGTAGCTTTTCTGCAATGAAATTCTAATGCCAGTTCGTAAATCAAACAGCCTATTGTTTGAAAAATGAAAAAAGATGTCTCAAATATCTGTGTGCCAATAATGCGCACCAGATGACGGAGGCCGCTTTCATGTTGGGAGGCGTCTGGCGAGCCCTCCCTCCTCCTCGGCTTCCTCCTCCGCTCCACTAACGCTGTATATGATAATTCAGAGAAAAAGAGGCGAATCGAGGGAGGAGGAGGAGGAGGAGGAGGAGGAACGAGGAGGAGGAAGTCCTTCAGCATGATCAGCCTGTTCAGGGAGTCTGTGATGACCAGTAAGTGTGCCAGTGCACAGAAAAGCCTGAATCATGCGTCTCGATGGCACATATGTGCTTTTCTTATTCACAAACCTCGGCTGACGTGAACGGGGAGTCGGTTGTCTTTGGAACCGTAACTCTGGAACAGTTCACACCAGAAACTTCCATCAAAGTTTAAACCCGTCACGAGGCTTTGAACGTTACTCGTCTGGATCCGGGTTTGGATGCGTTTAACGGTTTTTGCTCAGTCGCAGTTTGAGTTTGATGAATTTTCCTTCAGTTGGCGCGGCCAGTGGCTGGCTTTTCAAAATAAGATGCACTTCTTTAAACTACAGCTTTATGGGACAGAAGCTGTGCTGAACATTTTCTGATGAGGTGATCAATGCATAACCACTCCCTCATTCTTCAGGATTTTCTTACAGATTGTTTGACGTGATTTTTGTAACTCGTCCGGCAGCTTAAATCCAAACGTGCTTCTCATTCAGGAATGATGCACTACGACTTTTGCTCGTACGGTTTTTACAAATTTTATCGCAGTTTGAATTTTTTTGAAAAATACACATGGGACATATGCTGGCTTTTCAAAATAAAATGTATTTCAATAAGTTCTTACAGTGGGACATGCTAACTGGCAGAGGCTGCACTGACACAACCATTTTCTACGTCTTAATATAGATTCTTGCGACCCGATTTAAAAAAAAAAAAAACGTCCTCAAAGTAACTGCGTTTAAACTCCACTGAGGTGAACGTCGGCCATCTTTGGAACCCTGCGGCTCTGGAGTATTTCACAGTAAAAACTTTGCTTTGTTTTTGAAAGAGTCACAACGCTTTGAATGTGATTCCTCTAAACCCGTGTTTGGTGTCTTTTACGGTTTATGCACAGTTCAAATTTTATGAAGTAAATCCACAAATATGCTGGTTTTTCAAAATAAGATGTGTTTATGATGCTGCAGTGTCTGCAGCCGGCAGCCTGCCTGACTGACTGTAGTGACTGAACGGACACAGTATCGGCCCTGTTGTGTGGTTCTGATGCCATGAAGTCCTGTTTTCGTTTGGTCGGCGCTGTGGGGATTTGGACTTTTTTATTTATAATAAAAACGGATCTCAGACGGTGTTAATAACCCTGTGAGCGCGGAGATGGTGGCGGCAGGTCAGGACACGTCTAGACGTCTCGGCTAAACTCGGTTACATGCAGCCATTGTTTCCGAAAGCGTTTTTACGAGCGTGATTCAGGCCGAAGCAGCTCCTGAGTACGTGTTGAAGCTTTTATGGTTTTATGCGACTGAATGACTAAAAAATAGAAACTTTGAGCCGTAAAAGCACGAACGCTGAACTCTCCCTACAGATGAGCCCAGATTAGGAATATACGGCTCATAATTTAGACTGAAAGGTAAAAAACAGGAGAACTGGGAAACCTTCTGCTGCTTGATGCATCAGATTAAATAAAAACTGCACATTTGATTCGTCTGCTGCTTTTAATCTGAAAGGGTCGCGACCTGGTGACACACCTGGTGCTAAAGTCTGTGGATGAACCAGTTCGTATTCTGGGACGACGCTAAAGAGGCGAGCTGCTTCAGACGGAGACGGACGTGTTTTTATGTGCAGCAGCGTGTGCGGCGCCCCCTGGAGGATCAGTTCCACAGTAAAGGTCCGCCGTAGCGGCTAGCAGTTAGCGGCTAGCGGCTAGCAGCGGCGTCGCCTCTGAGCAGGAAGGTTTGAGTTTCTCGCTTTTCTGCGGTTTCTTCCCACCGGCCATAAATATGCAGGTTTAGATGAAGTCTCTGGATCAGAGGAGGATGACGGAGTTTGTTATTTCTATGATCGTATTATTCCCATAAATACGAGACGTCCTCCATCGTCTGATCACCGATCAACAGGAAATGACCTCGACACCGTCAGAGACGTCAGAACAAGTCCACCTAAAGCCTCCGTCGTCCTGCAAATGGAGCTTTTCTTCTCCAACATGGAGTGAACGTGTCATTTCCATGAACATTTTGTCAGGTTAAAACTCCTCCTTAATGTTCAACACGTCGTTACTATCTGACTTCAGCATCGCTCTGACTTCCTGTTCCAGCCTCATCTGTAGCTGACTCATGTAGACTTTTAGCAGCGTGTCGTACTTACATTCCTCTAGGACGTGCATTTAATTTAATCTGATGTAATTTTATCTTATAAATACGAACAAATTAAAAAGCTAAATTAAGAGCATCCTGGTCAGAAACTAGCGGTTTAGGGCTAGCGTTAGCTCCTGGTTAGCGCTTTAGCTCCTTCCATGTTTGGAATCAGACTTTTCGTTTGCTGTCTGTATTTTGTTGGTTTTCCAATTAGAAAAACATCAAAAATATATTTAATATTAATATGAATGTTCTCTGTGAGGGACTTTTAAAGCTCACAAACATGAGTTTCATTCTTCCCATCTGGTCGGTGAGCGGTGTTTTAGGCGGTGATCCTTCCTTTGAAGCTAAACTTGACTCAAAACGCAAATAAACAGAAAACGAAAGTGAAAACGACAAAACATTCCAGCAGGAAACGGGCCCAGACCCAAAAGACTTTCAGGCTGCAGCTCGACGCCTCCACGTGAGGAAGGACGACGTCAAACCGGGCTGATACCATCCAAAACACACAGGACTCACACAAGACCGGATCAGAACCGCTGACTCCGTCTTTAAACATCAGACGCTCATTTTTCTGAACCTGTGCATCCTGTAGTCGTTCCTACTCTCAGGTAAAAACCACAAACAGAGCAAACAGCTGGAGATGCATGAAGCCGGATAACGAAGCTCCGATAACGAACCTGTTTCTGCCTGAATCCCGGAATCCTTTGGCGAAGGGGTTGCGGTCGATCTTTAGTCTGGTGATCTGCAGGAGAGAAGGAGATGTTGGTTTCATGATCACACCTTCAGCCACGACGTCCTGACGTGACTCAGCTCGTTCATCTGCACCTTTCTGACACTTCATGACTTTTATTTGCTCCACTTGCTGCTCGGGTCAAAAAAAACAAGTTGGCAATAAAACCCGACTCTTGTTTCTCAAAACGCTCGAGTCGGACCAGACCGAGAGGCGCTTGATGTTCACTTGGTTCTTGAGGTGAACCCAGATGCGTACCTGCTGGTTCTGGTAGGCGGTGACGGTGGTGAAGACGGTCTCGGGGAAGCTGAAGGTCTTGACCCCCTCGCCGCTCGGCACCGGCTTGTTCGGAGACAGCTCGCTGCTGAAGTCCTTCCGGATGACGTGGACCCGGGGCTGGTACTTGTGCATCGAGTGCAGGATGATCTGAGGAGGAGAGAGAACGGGTTTCACTTCCTGTCCAGCAACAATTAGCTGCATCGGAGCTACGTGACACGAAGCGGAAACCCAGTTCAGAGCCGGGCTGCAGGATTATTTCTCAGCACAAGGCGTCAGACGGCGTCGGCCCCAGAACTCGCCCCGGGGCCTGGGTCTGCTCCTGATTACTGCGAGGGTGAGAAAACCTCCCCAGAGCCAAACACCTCCTCCCAGCGCTGCTCCGACGGAGGGGGTCATTTCCAAGCAGGCCGCGGGAGGCCAAACACCTCCCAATATCAAAACCATCAGCCCCGGAGGCGGCGCTGCTCGCAGACGCCCCCCCATGTGCTGCTCGGCCCGCCCTCCTCTCCGCGGATCGCCCGTCCATCAGGGCGCTGTGGGCGGCGCTCTGCTCACATGTTGAGCAATTATCTGCATCCCCAACGCAGCAGATGCCTCCTGCTGCAGCCGTCCTGCCACCGGCCCCCAGAAACCACAACCTGACGCTTGATCCTGCAGAAGGTTTGGTCTGGAGGGGGATTCAACCCCAGGAAGCTCTGCAGAGTCCAAATAATCACCTGTACTTTATTGCTTTTACTCATTTTTATCTCACACGGTTGAAGCTGTTTCATGCATCTGTTGCTCTGACGTCTTGTTTTTTCTGCACACATGCTAATTAGCTGCTAGCTGCTGCAGCTACTCGTAAGTCTGAACTGTTTTTTGGTCAATTTCCATCTAAAAACTCCTTCACACACACACACACACACACAGACACACACACACACAAACACACAAACACACACACCGTCATTTTAGATTATATTTAGACAAATTTGAGTCATTGTTGGATTCATTTGTGTAATTTTTGACAAGATTTGAGTCATTCTGGACATTTTCATTTGACAGAAAAAGCCGACACTGAAGAAATATGAGTAGAAAAATGAGAATAAAGTTCTGGTTCAGATTGTCCAGATTGTCTGGATGGGAATGCAACATGTCAGTGGTGCACTGATAGAAGTATTAGTTCTGCACTAAGGAGGATATGAGATTGATTCATAATTCACAGCTGTGACTGTGGACGTTATTGTGAGCAGTGCAGCGTTTATCCACTCAGAGCTTCTTATTGTAGCTCTGAATGCTGACATGCATCCGTTTATTCTGGTTTTAACTTTATCTTTGCAGCTGCTCTCTGTCCAGTCCTTCAACAGTTGTGATGCATAAACTCGTGTCTCGTCGTGTCTTCAGCGTCTAAAGTTGCAGCTCGAGCGTCAGAAACAAACCGGGCCGAGCCGCCTCATGACCCGGAGCAGTCACGCTCTGGGTCCCGGAGGCGATGCGGATCAACAGACGGACTCGGGGAGCAGCCAGAGGACGTCAGCTGACACTTGTTCACGCTCAAACCCGATTAGCCTAATAAGCGATGTTTAGGTAATGACGCCCTGTGAAAGTCATCTGGACGTCCACACCAGAGACACCAGCACATGCACGCCGCACATGTCTCGGTTTGAAGCTCAAATCCCATTAAACGCTGTTTTCTGAAGCACATTTGGGCCGAATTTGCTTTCAAACGCGCTCAAGAAACTCTTTAACAAGCGTGAAAAATTAGCAATCAAAGCAGCCGATTGCAGAGCGCGGCCGGACTCCTGTGATATCCGCCGTGGAGCGACATGCTGGTGCAGTTAGGGCCGGGTCATCGGAGCGTCGGAACCACAGCTGGGCCGCCGTGGGAGCAGAGCAGCGTCTCTGAAAGGTCACTGTCACAGTTTGTTGAAGGAAAACAGGCGAGCCTTCAAAGTCTGTGTTAAAGCGACGCGTCATTAGCAGCAAAGAACAAAAGAGGAGCAACAAAAGGATCTTTTCTGGCTGGTCCAGCCCGCCTCGCTGCTTTCTGTCTTTTATTGGGTTTTCCCAGAGAGCAGCGAGACCAGAGTGACAGCGTGAGGCGGTTCTGAAGCCACGAGGCCCGAAGGGGAACGAGTCCATTCAGAGGCGTGACGCAGACCTCAGAGTCGCTGCACGACATCCTCCCTGAGCAGCGACACGACGAGCAGCAGAGAGGCTGGAGCTCCTCGAGTCCTCGGACCTCAGCGGCGCCGCACCGTCCACAAACAGGCTGGTGCTGTTTGGACCGAAGCCACAGTTTGTGTAGCGCACTGCCTCTGCAGCTGGGTTACAGATAAAGTTATTATTATTATTATTATTATTATTATTATTATTATTATTATTATCATTATTATTATTATTATTATTATTATTATTATNTTATTATTATTATTATTATTATTATTATTATTATTATTGTTGTTGTTATTATTATTATTATTATTATTATTATTATTATTATTATTATTGTTATTATTATTATTCCAGAGCTACAGGCTGCTTTAGTTCAGCTTCACGTCTCTCTCTCGTTGTTCATTTTTCTTTAGTCGCAGTATTTTAATATTTAACTCACAAAGCGACCGATGAGCTCGTTAAGGTCATTAATTCGTTAGCCTGATGCTAAACTGATGCTGAAATCACAACATAAATGCATTCGTCTGTTCAGGTTATTTTTAGCAGAGCTCAGGTTTAATTAGCTTTAAGATGTTTAATTGTGCTTCAGCTCAGGTTTCACCGCTCGGTTCTGTTGATCAGCTGTTTGTTCTGTTTACTGTGTGTGTGAGTGTGAAGCTCATGAATCTGGTGCTTCATCACCGTGATGTTCTGGACGCGTCTGAAAACATCTCAAACCGCTTCCTCTGCTCGCTTTACTGGTTTTTGGTATTTTTTTCAGCCCAAGCAGAGATGAACTCTAATGATCTGCTCTGATTTTGTTTTTAACCAGCTGCTCATCCTGTCGGCTTGTTTTCTGTTTTAACTCTGAACCAGCAGCTCAGCCTGAACACCGCGCCGCTCTGATGATTCATGAGGCACCAAGAAGAAGAAGAAGAAGAAGAAGAGGAAGAAGAAGAAGAAGTTCTCCCACACAGGAAGCTCCAGAATTAATTTCCTCTGCGTCCCTCCTCCTCCTCTTGCTGATGGAAACAAGCCCTAAAAGCGAGCAGCGGGAGAGGAAACAGCCTCCCTCGCCCACTGACGCCCAGATGTTATTGCGTTTGTCACCGCCGAGCCGAAGTGATCGTCTGGCGAGGAACCTGCAGCCTCACGCGGGGGCCGCCATTTTGTTGGCGGAGGTGGAAACGCGCCTGTCATGGCGGCGTTTTGTAATTATCTCATCACTTATGTGCAGCGTCGCGGTCACGGCAGAGAGCTCGGAGGAGGAAGAGGAGGAGGAGGA